CACTGCGGAGGGCGGGCACCGGCACCCTGGCCGGCCCCGGGGCGCCCGTGCTGAGCGAGGCGTGGGCTTCCTGTGTCGGGCCCGCCTTGGCTCTGACGGCAGCCCGGTGAGAGCTGGCGTGGTGAGGCGTGTGTGGACACGTGTGCAGGCCGAGCTCACACACACTAAGCCCGCCCTCCCAGCCCTGGAACACATACCTGGATGTGGCCCAAGAGGGATCCTGGTTTAAATAAAATGAAACAAAGTCTTCAACAGAGAGGAGCAGGAAAGCGTGAGCCCTCCAAGGGGCCACGGAGAGAGGGCGGAGGAGGCACACTGCTGAGAGAGGGGTGGGAGGGCAGGGGGGAGGGTAGGTGGCCTGCAGGACAGGAAAGGGGTGGCAGGCACAGGTTCGGCAGGGCCGGTGGCCTGGTCTGGGTGCACATCTGGGGAGGACAGTGGTGCCCCAGGAACTGGAAACGCTTGTCTGTCTGCAGGCCTCCCACCTTCCTCCCCTCACCCCACCGTCATGGCCCCGGGGCCCTGGTCTCCCTTCTCCACCTTCCGGCTCTAAGGCAGTGGGTATTCGGGAGCCCTCCAAGTTGTAGGTCAGCTAGAGGGTCCGAGGGCCCAGGGGCACCACCAGAGGGGTCCAGCCAGGGTCACCAACAAGGACAACACAGAGCAACAGGCATGGGCAGGCGAGGGGTGGGGTAGCCGGGCCCCTGCCTACCGGCCACCCGCCTGGAAGCAGCCCCAGGACGCTGTGCTGGGAAAACCAAGCCCCCGCAGCGAGAAGGGGCCGAGCACAAGACGTCATGACACGTCTCTGCCACGTGGCACCGGGGACAGGCAGTTCCCGTGAGGTGGGCAGGGGGCCTGGCACTGGCCCCACAGGCCCTTGCCTCCCGAGTGCTTTTTCAAAAGGCTCTGTACCCACAGAGCATGTGGACAGGTGAGAGGAATGGCGCGGGGCTGGGAGAGGACAGCACTGCCCACACGCCAGACCCTGGACACAGGCTGGGCCAGAAGCAGCTGGGAAGGAGAAGGCGGTGTGGGGGGCTACCAGCCACGCAGCTCCCTCCATATGTGGTGGGCAGGGGACGGCGTCCTCCTCGAGTGGAGAGCATCCTTTGGGACTCTCAGAAGAGGAGGAGGCCACCTGGAACCGTGGGCTGGGCAGTGTGCTCCCTGAAGGCAGAGCCCGGTCCTCCTGCTCTTCCTGCCTTGCAGGGTGTCTGACAGCAGTGGCTGCCCAGGGAACACCCAGGATACACGGGCAGCACAGCGACAGGACAGCGTGTGGCTGTGATTTCATCTCCAGCTACAGACACAGGACAGGACCAACCAAGAGGCCAATGGACATCTGGGGCCTGCAGCCTCTCACCTTCACGCCTCGGACTCGGAACTCGGCAAGGGCTCTGCTCATCTTGGTGGCGGCCGTGGGGTGGTCTTTGCCGTGGGCGATGACTTTGACCAGCAGGGAGTCGTAGTGGGGGGAGATGACGGCTCCTTGGAAGGCGGAAGCGTTATCCAGGCGGATGCCCATGCCCTCTCCGCTCCGGAACACCTGCGGGGGAAGGCGAGCAGAATCAGGACCTGGGGTGGAAGCCGGAGCTGAGCCATTGCCCCAGCCCAGGCTGGATGAGTGCAGGCCGCCGGCAGGCTGCTGAGGGCCATGCACAGGTGTCCACAGGGGACCCCAACTCTGGCCTGTGAAGTTCTGCTTAATTTCTGCAGCAAACCCAGGGGTGTGCCACCTTCTCTATGTGCCACTCCCCCACCCTGAGAGGAGGGGATGGGGAGAGCGTGCCCTGCCAGCACCAGGGCTCTGTGCCCAGCACTCAGGCTGACGCAGGGCCCACAGGGCACAGAGGGGCCTGGACAGGCGGGCCGGAGCCCACCGACCTACTGTCTTCCTGCCTGACCAACCGTCTTGCCTTTCAGATTCATTCATTTGTTCACTCATTCATTCCATAGCACGTGTGCCCACCTCATGCCAGGCCCTGGGGACAGAGCAGCTAAAACTGAGTCCCTGCTCACACGGACTCCCAGCCTGCTGAGCGAGGGGGCAGACAAACAAACAAGGAAACACACAGGCTGGCGACAAGGACACTGCAGGACAGGAGCAAGGCAGGGAGAGGCAGGCCAAGGGCTCTTTGTTGAACATATGCAGTGACGGGGAAGGCCTCGGTCACCCCCCACTTCCCCTCCTTCCAAAGGGGAAGAAGAGGGAGACAGGCAAAGACGAAGGAGCAGGCGGGCAAGCAGGTGAGAAACAGCAGGAAGAGGGAGAGGAGGGCCAGACGCAGGGAGAGGCGAGGAGCCCAGATGCGGAAGGAAGCAGAGTGACAGGTCAGAGAGGCGACTCATGGAGACAGGGAGGGGCCCCAGGTGGGGGCAGATGTTCAGACCGTGATGGGAGCAGGGGTGAGCCCTGCAGGGAGAGCCTGCACCTGGGGAAGGCACAGGTCAGGGGGCCGGGGAGTGGGTGGGGCAGGCCGGGGGGCTTGGGACACCCACTGCACCATGTTTCCGTGTCTAAGGGACACAGGCCTGTGTTCGATAAAAAGGAACTTAATAAAATATTTAAGGGCGAACACTCAGCTGTGAGCAGGAACTGTCAGCTAAAAATACTCTGTGGTAAACCAGGCTCGGAGGAGCCAGGCCCTGGAAGTGGAGGTGGTGGGCAGCGCTGAGTGGCGGGGCCGCCTTTTCCCGGCTGAGGGCAGAGAAGTGGGGGGCCACCCACTGGACAGCACTCTGGCCTTGGGCTGGCCCCCACCTGTGGACTTGGATCCTTCCAGAAACGGAGGCAGCTCTGTCTCAAGCCAACCAGCTCTATGCAACCTTCAGACTCCAGAGAGCTCCCCTTTGCTTCCAGCCCTCCCCACAGCACTGGTCTCAGAAGCTCAGTCTCTGTCTCAGAATCTCCCTGGACGCCCAAGCAGGACCTGAGCTCCGCCTCGTCCTGCTTCCACGGAGGCTCAGACCAGATGGGGAGGCTGTAGACCAGCAGAGCCGGTGGCAGCACTGCTGTCGTGGGACCGGCAGGTATTATCAGGGGTGTGAGACAGAGGGCCAGGGAGCAGGCACCCCAGCAGCCCAGACAGGCCCAGAGGCTGGGGTGCGGAGGGGAGGCCACGGGGACAGAGGGGGAAAGACGTGCCCTGGAGGAGGTGCAGGTCCTGGTGTGCAGAGGAGCCGCCCTGGCCCTCTCTCAGCCCCACAGCCTGAGCCTGTCTCTTGGCCTCCTCCCTGCCCCCCCACCATCTCCCTACCTTCTCATTCATCCCCAGTGGGTCCATTGGCCCAGCCTGCCCTCTCCACTGGGACATCTGGTGTCCTTTGCTGCACCCGGTTTCTGCCTGGACAGCCACCCTCCCCTCCTTAGACTGAAGGCAGTATAGAGGTCAGCAGCATTGCTCAGTGGGCAGCAGAGCTTTGGGTTCTTGTGAGAAGACAGAGCCAAGGGCCTGGGCTTCATTTCTGAGGACCCTGCACTCGGCCCCACCCAGCTGGTCTGCTCCCTGTCCATGTGATTCACTCGCTGGCTTTCCAGCCTGTGCTGGAATGCTCTCCCCTCACTCCAGGACAGTGCCTGGCTCCCATGTACTCTGAGGCAGCTTCTGCTCAGCTCAGGTGAGAGGTCTGCTTCAATGCCGGGCCCCTAGGCCCCCCTGTGCTCCCTGGAGCAGCAGTCTGGCCCAGGAGTGTCTTCACACAGACTGAGGCTGGTGGCAGCCTACCTCGATGCGGCCGGTGTCTGGCTGGAAGCTGCGCGCAGGGTCCTCAGTGGTGACCCGGCACTGGATAGCACAGCCGTTGATGCGGATGTTCTCCTGCCGCAGGCCCAGGTCAGGGAGGCTCCGGCCCTCAGCCACGTGGATCTGGGCGTGGACCAGGTCCACACTGCAGGTGTAGGGAGCAGGGAGAGCGTGAGGCAGGGGATGGGCGGGGAGAGCCCTGACCCCACCACCCCAGCTGACGCTCACCAGCCTCCTCCCAACCAGACTGGCGGCCCCTGCTCTGTACCCACCGGGGCCGAGAACCCTGCTCCTCGAGAACGTGGCGGCTGGAGGGGGGTGGCTGAGATGGCTGCAGCTGTCTTGCACCAACCAGCAACTCTTCCTCCCCACCTTTGCCCCACTTCTTCCCTGGGGTCTCTCTGTCCGCCTGCCTCACCCAAACCATCAAGCCTGGGTTTAA